GGCTCTTTCCATAGTTTGGCTATTGTGGACATTGCTGCTATAAACATTGGGGTGCAGGTGCCCCTTCGGATCACTACATTTGTATCTTTGGGGTAAATACCCAGTAGTGCAATTGCTGCATCGTAGGGTAGCTTTTTGAGGAACCTCCATACTGTTTTCCAGAGTGATTGCACCAGCTTGCATTCCTGCCAACAGTGTAGGAGGGTTCCCCTTTCTCTGCATCCTCGCCAACATCTGTCATTTCCTGACTTGTTAATTTTAGCCATTCTGACTGGTGTGAGGTGGTATCTCATTGTGGTTTTGATTTGTATTTCCCTGATGCTGAGTGACGTGGAGCATTTTTTCATGTGTGTCTTTCATTGTATGTCTTACTTGGAGAAACGTCTGTTCACGTCTTCTGCCAATTTCTTGATTGGATTATTTGTTCTTTCGGTGTTGAGTTTGATAAGTTCTTTATAGGTTTTGGATACTAGCCCTTTATCTGATAAGGCATCACAAATATCTTCTCCCATTCTGTCGGTTGTCTTTTGGTTTTGCTGATTGTTTCCTTTGTTGTGCAAAAGCTTTTTATCTTGATGAAGTCCCAATAGTTCATTTTTTGCTTTTGTTTCCCTTGCCTTTGGAGACGTGTCTAGCAAGAAGTTGCTTGTCACAGAGGTCACAGAGGTTGCTGTCTGTGTTCTCCTCTAGGACGTTGATGGATTCCTTTCTCACATTGTGGAATTCCATTTGCTGGTATTTTGTTTAGGATTTTTGTTTGTGTGCAGACAGATCAGATTGGCCTGTCATTTTCCTTTCTTGCCTTGTCCTTGTTTGGTTTTGGTATCAAGGTTATACACTGCTCATAAAATCATTTGGGGGAATGTTTCCTCTCCTTTTACCCTCCGGGGCACTTGTGGAAGACAGATAAAACCGCAGAAGGGTCTGGTAAGCGCAGCTACCAGACTGTCATCCTTCTGTGGTCCCACTTTTTGGTACAACTTTTCTTGCTTGTGCCTCCAGCCCGACCTATGCCCCCACCCCGCCAAGAAAAACAAAGGAAACACATTGCTCCCTCATAAGCGTCTCACATGGAAATGCTCACAGCTTACTTAGAAAGCTGTGTTTCTGGTTTTTTACAGGTGGGTCCTTAACTCAAGAGTTTAGCATGAAGAGTTGTTTTCAGGCCTGCCCTGAGCGCCCCCACGTAACAGGTAGTTGCCTCTCTTAACAGATTAACCACTCTTCTTGAAAACCCAGGTATAGGATCACTCACTTATCCTTTAGGGCCTCCCCGAACATGAGCCAGAGTCCAGCCAGAGGTGGGTCTGGCGGACCTGGGACCCCGGTCTGCCCGCCAAGGCTGCTCTGTTTTAGGGATATGTTGGAAACTATGTGGTCCAAATCCTCTAAGCACAAAATTAGCTTCTTTCCATATTTTTGAAAGGGAAAGAACACCTTACTAAATATAACATGGGTCAACAAGCCAGAAACAAGATAAACAGCCAGCAGCTGCAGCTCAGGAGCTGGGTTCCACACCCCTGGTGAACCCACCAGAGTCCTGGTCTCCAGAGGGAGGGCAGAATCGACGGACAATTTTAAGCGACCCCCCTGGACACATAACCCTGCCATGAACCCCAAACACAAGACCTTCATTTCTTTTTTTGATTCTAAAACCAACATATACACATTTGTGTGTTCCCAGTTGTTACTCTCCCAGTAAGAAAAAGAAAATAAAAATCACTCTAATCCCACAGTGCAGAAAACAACTAAAAAGACCATGGGATGCATAATCTGAGTGTTTTGAAATTTAATATAAAACATAAGTGTTTCTCAGCCTTTTTCCCCAGTATTGTTCCCTAAAGTCTTTTTAGACACTGTTTTTGTAATGCCCCCATTTTACCCCCACTCCATGAAATTTTAATACTGCAGATATCTTGTGTGTCTGTTAATGTATGGTGGAGGGCCACACACCATTGTAATATCTAAGACTATATTACACCATCCCCAAGAACCAATTTTTGCCCCCGCCCACCGTGGGTGGTCTCACTCCATTGGAAATGCAAGCTTTAAATAAAATTAAATAACAAACCTTTCTAGAAGAACTTGCTATGCGCCGGTCACATATAATTCTAGGTACTTTATGTATGTTCTCTTGTTCACTTATCATAACTCTCCTATGAGGTGAATACCAGAAAGACTCGGTCTCCTTTTACAGTTGTGGAAAGCTGAGGTACAGAAAGGTGAAGTAACTTGCCAAAGGCGCACAGCTGGGAAAGTTGGGAGAGAGGATCTGAGCCCAGGCAGCCTGGTTCCAAAGTTCACGTTGAACCACCAAACTGCTTTGCCTTGCAACAACACCTTCTGATTGTAACAAATCCAAACTACAGAAACAGGGTAACAGGTATAGTTCCCAAGCCCTCTCTATTCTCTGAAGAAATCATTGCTAAGTTTGGAATGTGTCTTGCCTGAGATTTTTACATATATGTTTGTATATATGAAAATCGTCTGTCTCTTGTTTAACATAAGGAGGATCATCCAGCCTTCCTTCCTATATATTCATGTGTACAGATGTGTATATAGAATTTTTTAAAAATTAGAATCACACTGAACATACTGGGTTGTTGTTTTTTTTAACTTTGACTTTAAAATGTATTAGCTGGCTTAAAACCATAATTTAACAAGCACGTGTACCATATTTTATTTAACCAGATGCAGATGATTGGCTATTGAAACAGTTTCTAGTTTCTCACTGCTACAAAGCTTCGATGAATATCCTTGCCTTGTACATAATTCTCAGAGCCAAAGGGTATAAGCATTTTTGAAACTTTTGATCCATCAGCGCCAAAATTTGCCGTCCGGAAAAATTGTATGAAATCGCTTATCCCAACACCATTACCCACATTGGGCATTATTGCCTGTTTTCCATCACTGACCATTTAACAGGCCCAAATGTGTGAATCCCGACATTTTCATCTCTTCTGGTGACTCTCATCTGGAGCCTGTTTGACTCATGTGACAGGTAAGGCAAAGCTTGAGTCGAGAGATCAGGGAGGGTGGGAGGTTAAAGTAGCCCCAATCACTGGTTTAGAAAACACACTCTCCACCTCCCAAGGACAAGGCCTACCTGCTGGGCACCTAGCAGGTGCTCAGTCATGGGCTTTTTCATCTCCTGCTTCCCACACAAGCCTGTGGCTGCACCTCCGCACCACTGAGCCCTCCTCCTCCTCTGGCCTTGTCTCAGATCCATTTGGCAGAACTGCTAAACCCCTAATCCTTTCCTTTGCTGGCTATGAGTGATATTTGGGAAACAAATACCCTCATGTGTTCGGTAGGCTTTTGAGCGGATCCACAGCAACTGTCTGCAGTGGAATGGGATCCCTGTTCAGTGCCCTGCATGCCTACACATCCATGTTCACACATCAGCACACATGTATTTGTGGGTATGCTCATGTGCATTAGCACAGCACAATTCGGGTGCAGACCCTATTACCTGAAGTGGGACTTGTCTCTCACAGAGACTTTCCATATACCCTCCAGCCTGAGTTAGGACACCCACCTACCGAATTCCACAGTTTCTAGACTTTCTTCCCACTTTGTCGTTATTCCCTGTAGACTTTTTCCTGCTGGCCCGGAAGCCCCACTAACCCTTAACTTGCTCACCGGTGTCCCTCCAGTGCCTAACACTGCTTAGCAGATGCGCAAGAAATATTTGTGGAGTGAAAAAAAAAAAAAGAAGAAGAAGAAGAAACAGACCTCAAGCCGATAAAGGATATTATCCCAAATATTTTTAGATTATTTTCTTAACAAAGTGGCCACTTTCAGATTGAGCCCGTTGTTTGATGAGAAAATATCTCTGCAGCATTAGATTTCAAGTGGCCTGTTTAGCCGTCCTTCTGGAAAGATTGGAAAGAATGCAGAGTTGAAAATAGGACCTTGCCCATCCAAACATCTGTCGGGCTTTACTGTTCTGCGAAGGTCACTGTCCCGGGAATAATGTACTGAGGAGCAGTTAGCCAGGAAGGGTGTCGCTGCTCGCTGGTCCTCCTGGCCCCTGAAAGTGTTCTGAGCTAAACCTTCAGGTGACTTGCTTATCTGGCTCACTCTCCCAGCCAACAAATGGTTGTGGAATCCCAGGACGGTGGGCTTGTTCCCTTGAGCACAAGGTCTCCGAGCTGCTCCGTGGGAGGAGGGTTTCTCGCCCGGCTGGGCACAGCAACTAAGATGGGGAATAGGCCGGCTTCTGCCACTTTAAGAAAAGCAAAACTCCGCGTGGCTGAAGGGAGGCGAGTCTTGCAGGAAGACTTCAGGTGGCCTCTATTCATTTCATTCAGAGATTGAGCAGACATGTTTGGAGCCCCTGCTATGTTCTGGGTACAGAGATGTGTCATGGGAAGAGAGAGACTGGCCACAGTAGTCACTGGTGGAGTCCACGGAAGGGGCAGCTGAGCAGGGGGGACCAGAGAACTGCAGAAATGCTGGAGGGGGGTGTGCAGAGAAGGGTGAGGTGAGAGATGAGGGCGAGAGGCGGTCACACACGTGACTCCAGGAGCCCAGATTTTCCGCTGCAGGAAATGGGGAGCCATGGAGGGTGGGGGGCAGCCCGTAGGCCGTGTGGACTGGGACACAGCCCCGACGGATGCCCGTCGCCCAGGCGATTTGGGTACAGCTACTGACCACGGCTCACGCACACCATCGTTCACACTCCTCGCTGGACCCCGTGCCCGCCGAGATTTCACTGCACTTCATTAAATTCCACAAAATGTTTTCAGGCCCCAGAGTGCTGACCTCTCTGGTCTCCTGCATGGAAAGGTCTGGCTTTTCCTTTTCGGGTGGGGTAGGCGGATCAGCCCTCCTTCTGCAGGCACGTAAGCCATCTGGAATGCATCAGCGGCTAGGCCTGGCCGAGCGCGCGGCGCGGTCCCGCTCCGTGACTCCTTCGAGAGTACCGGCGCTGCGTTCACAAACGTGTCGGGAATCTGAACTGAGCCTCCTCTCTCTTCTTTCTGCTTTCCTTGCAGACCTCTCGGCCGCAGCTGTCCACACAGGATGCCTCGAATTTGCTGGAAGCCATCCCTCGAGAGCGCAGCCGCTGCTTCTTTAGGGCAGCACTAGGGATTTCGTTCCGTGCGTTGAAGGGGTTTTTGTTGTTCTTGCTGCCACTGCTGGTGCGCTCATTTATTTATTTTCTTTCTTTGCACCGGGCCTCGCCCTGCTCGCACTGGCATGATGGCCCAGTCGAAGGCCAACGGCTCCCACTATGCGCTGACCGCCATCGGCCTGGGGATGCTGGTTCTCGGGGTCATCATGGCCATGTGGAACCTGGTGCCCGGGTTCAGCGCCCACGAAAAGCCGACAGCTCAGGGGAACAACAAGACAGAGATAGGCAGCGGCATTCTCAAGAGCAAGACCTTCTCCGTGGCCTACGTGCTGGTCGGGGCTGGGGTGATGCTGCTTCTGCTCTCCATCTGCCTGAGCATCCGGGACAAGAGGAAGCAGCGGCAAGGCGAGGAGATGGCCCACATCCAGCACCAGCCGGGGGTGGAGCCGCACGGCCCGGAGGAAGACAGGTGAGGACGGGCTGACCGCCCTTGGACCGGGGGATGGACACACACACACACACACACGCTCACACTCATAGGGCTCACTGATGAGACTGTTTTAATCTAGGAGGCTCTGCCTTCCCACTCTCCCCCACTAAGGCTCCGTAAAGCAGTTTATAATTTTCCAAATAGCTTTATACTTCTATCCCAGAGTTTCCCAAATCATGCGGTATGAATGGATTACAGGTGTATCAAGATTTTGACGCTGGCAGGAAAGCTGCATGGGGCCCAGGGCAGCCAGAGCCTCCAGACAGGCTGTGTGTACGTGCTTTGCGTTGAAAAGGCTGGGAACCAGTGTTCTATTTGGACACAAATGCCACAAACGCATTTAAGAGATAAGCAATAAATCGGGGAACACATGATGAAAGCTGACGTCCCTGCTAGGAAAAGAGCCCTTGCAAATGAGTGTGACAGGGGAGCATACCAGTAGGAAAAGGGACAAAGGATACAAGCAAGCATCTCGTAGGTGTTCAGATGAGAGATGTTCAACCTCATTCGTCACGAAACGCAAACAAAAAGAAGGTGTCATTATTCTTTGCCTATCTTAATGGCCAAGCCGGGCAGCCCCCCGTGTTGGAGAGTTGTAGGGAAATGGGCCACTGATGGGGGTATCGGCTGACACAGAGGAGTCTTCATGGCGAGAGGAGATGTTGAAGATGCGTGTCCCAATCTATTCTGTTCCTAAGAGTTTACCCTTGGGAGAAAAATCACGCAAGTGCAAAGGAGTCTGTGCCCTTAGGTTTATCAGAGCGTTGCTTAGAAGAGCAAAAACTGAGAAATGACCTAAATATCCACCATTCAAGCTAAATTATGGCACGCCCACTCGGCAGCATTCTGCAGAGCCACAGCTGAGCCATAGTTGCCAACACGGGACCATGTGCACCATGGTGAGAAAGGGAGGTTACAACACGGCATCTGTGGCAAGGTCCTAATTGCATCAAATGTTGCAGCTGTGGGATTAGGGAGGGGTCTGGAAAGGTATGCAACAGAGTGTTAACAGTGGTTGTCTCCAGGTGGAAGGAGATGGGACGGTTTTATTTTCTGCCTTAGGTTTTTCTGTGTTGTTTAGATTTTCTGCAACCTTGTCATCCTTCTAGCGGGAAGGGAGTTGTTTTTGGCTTGGAGAAACGAAACCTATTTTCTGATAATAAAAGATCATGCACGCACATTCTCGAAAACTTAGGAAATACAGAAAAGAACAGAGACGGAGAATCAGTCCACCCCTAATTCCCCACCCTAGCCAGGAGCACACACATACTAAGGGAAATGAGAGGTAGGCCTGGACAAACAGGGAGGGGCTGATGTTGGCCATTATCACCCTATAGGTTCAAGTGTAGAGTCCTGAACTATGGCTTATGGCACTATTCCCTATACGTGTGTAAAAAAAAAAAGAAAAAGAAAAAAAGACACCCTGACTTTCTGGTTTTCTCTTTCAACAGTCAAAAGAGATTAAGCCTGAGGATAAGACCTCTGAGCCTTATAGTGAACTTGGAAGACAAAATTACAGAATACCTTGAAATACATATAAATTTTATAGCAGAAATTCCTTCTCTACCCGGGGACAACCATTCTACTTCACACTGGCCGCTGCTTCGTGCATGTTTGTGTGGCCTTTGGCAAAAGGACCCAGCTTGGCGCCAGAACGGCCCATCCGGCATGTGGTTAAGCATGAGTCTTAAAAGCGAAGGGGGCTTCACACTTCCTTGTGTTAACACTTCCAGATCGTCCAGTGTAGTCATTGAGTGTGGCGTTCAGTTCCTGCTCTCCCACTTCCCAAATATATGACCAAGTCACATAACCTTGACATACCAGTTTCCTCATCCATAAAATGGGTATGAAAGTAGTACCTAGCTCACGGCATTGTTAGGAAGATGAAACTGGTTGATATGTGTTAAAGTACTTAGCACAGTACCTGACGCCTAGCACACAGCTGAAGTGTTAGCTTTTATTACTTTTGGCACCCACGGGTTGTTCACAAGGCTGGTGTACGTGGACCCGGTGCTGACACAGGATCTGGAGTCCATCTACTTGTGATTTTCAATATGGCGGGAGCGCGTGCTAACACTCTCCATGTTGGTGCTTATTGTCTTGCAGCCAGGAGGAGGAGGAAGAGGCCTCCTCCAGGTACTATGTCCCCAGTTACGAGGAAGTGATGAACACAAACTACTCGGAAGCGAGGGAACTGGACCAGAACCCGAGGATGAGCATCTCTCTCCCATCCTATGAGTCCTTGACGGGGCTTGACGAGACGAGCCCCACAGCTGCCAGGGCCAACGCGGAGACCAGCCCGGGGAATCCACCCGACAGGCAGAACTCCAAGTTGGCCAAACGCCTGAAGCCACTCAAAGTTCGAAGGATTAAATCCGAAAAGCTTCACCTCAAAGACTTCAGGATCAGCCTCCCGGACAAAAACATCCCTCCTCCCTCCATCGAGCCTTTGACCCCCCCACCACAGTACGACGAAGTCCAGCAGAAGGCTTCTGACGCCCGGCCACCTGACTGACGGCCCTGCTCAGGTGTGTCCCTCCGGTCGCTCACCCTCCACACCACGGACCCCCAGTGAAGCCACTTCAGCTGCAATTGAGGAGTGGAGGGGGCAGATGCATACAGATTGATGTGGATGGGGGCGAGGGCGGGGGGCGTGGGGAGTCCAGTGACTAGGGACTGACTGACGTCCACAGAACCTCATGTGGCAGTGCATTGGGAAGAGCTGCTGCCTCGGATCTCGGGGTGTGGACCCCGTCACGGTCCTCACAGGGTACGCACCTTCCCCATCATTTTTCCCCAACTCTGAGTTGTTGGCGACAACGCCTCTCTTTCCAATCAGGAGAGGATGCCTAGCAGCTGGTTTAGGTTGTGATTTTTGTTTTGCTTCCACTAGGACTATTTTGTTTCAAAAAGAAAACAAGATATGCCTTTGCTTTCTTCACCGGAGTCCTGAGCCGTGGGTAGGAGATGTGACTCAGCTTTCTAGAAAGGACGCGGGGCCATTTCAGGAACGAAGCAAAACAAGAGGCCGATCGATGATGTGGGGATGAGGCCCAGCTGGGCTCTCTCAGAGCCCCTGAAGCTGTTGGCTCTCGGGGGCCCCAAGGCCCGGTGATGCATAAGATCAGAGTCTTTACTGGTACACTTTCCTAGGGCCTTCAGGATAAGGGCGAAAAAGGAAAGCTGCGTGAGATATTTTATTCCTTCTAAAATGCCATGCAAGTGAGCTTTTTATAATAAAATATTTTATACGTAGTACATTTGGGCGCTGAATCATTGTCGCAGCTCTTCCAACACTGACTTGCTTAGGGAGAAATACCACTGATAATAATAGTTGCCGCTAATCTGCACAAACACTTCACATGTGTTACGGCATTTCATCTGGATCCTGGTATCACTGCCATTTTGCAGGTTAGCTCACAGAGGCTCTGGTTCAAGTGCCTCATGTCACATCGCTAGGAAGTAGCCGTGCTAGAGTCTGAACCCTAGCCGTCTGGCTCCAGGCCCTGAGTTCTTTAAATGCTCTACTGTGCCATTCAGTGTGAAGAGCTTTTTCAGACTTCGAATGAGGAGCTGTGCTTCCCAAGAAGGGGAAGCTACTGCTGCTGCCCCTTCGACTCACATGCCCAAAGGACCATGGTGGCTGTCTAGACAGCAGCTCCTACCGACCTAAACGTCCCCCCAGCACCCCCCTCCTGAGACCCGGCCCAGCGGGAGCCGATGGGCTGTATGCTCAGAAAGGGCGGGTGAGTGTGTCCTCATGCAGGGGCCAAAGTGCCTGCCTGTGGAACCCAGAAAAGCAGTTCAACTAATGAGGATGCCCAGGATTGCTGACTGCTGAGGCTAGGCCAGAAGAGGAACGACTGGGGTCACGGTCTTGACTGTGGAGTGGGAGTCTGGGAAGACACACCTGGGTCCAGGCGTGCCTTCCTGGTACTGGGGAGCATGAAGTGGAGTCTGCATGCCTAGGAGAAGAGTAAATTCTGAGGCCCTGGATGTTTCCGAAAAGCTTCTAAGTAGAGAAGGGTGGGCAGATAGGGAATGAATCCCTCCTGATCTCGGGATTGGCAGCAGGGTCTAAATTCCAACCTTTCTCTTTCCTTATGCAAATCCATCTATTAAAAGGGAGCTGCAAGGACCTGCTTCGTGGCTAAGACACCAGAGGCCTGGTCTGGTCACAGCCCACTACCGAGCCAGCCTGTGGCTCTGCATATATCTGGGGGCTGGATTTGTTCTTCGGTTAGTCTTTTTGCTTCCTCCTGATGGGAAGACAAACAGGAGGAAAAAGAAAAGAAGACAAGCAGCGCACCTGGATGGCTCAGTTGGTTAAGCCTCTGACTCTTGACTTCGGCTCAGGTCATGATCTCACGGTCGTGAGAGTGAGCCCGGAGTAGAGCCCTACGTTGGGCTCCACGCTCAGCAGGGAGTCGGCTGGAGATTCTCTCTCTCCCTCTGTCCCTCTACCGCCCCCTCTCTAAAATAAATAAATCTTTAAAAAAGAAAAGGAGAATAGCAAGGTTCCAAATGATAGAAAGGGCCCTCAGTCTGGGCTCTGGTAGATCATCCTGCGGGGTGTCTGCCCAGCCTAGACCCTCCTGGGGGGAGAAAGTTTTGGGGCTTGTAGTGGGCTGAATGGTAACCCCGAAAGATCTCAGGACCTAAGTTCTAGGACCTGCAGAAGTTACCTTACAAGGTAAAGGTTTTGCAGGTGTGATTAAATTAAGGGTTTTGAGATGAGGTTATCTGGGAATCACCAGGTGAACTCTAGATGCCATCCACAAGTGCACTTGCAAATGAGAGCTGGGGGACACCACACACAAAGAAGAGGAGGCAGCAGTGTGACCACGGCCGCAGAGACTGGCCTGGTACGTCTGCAAGCCAGGGACTGCCAGCAGCCCTGGAGCTGGAGGAAGCAAGGGGATTCCCCTCTAAGCATCCAAGGGCGCTGCAACCTTGACTGTGGCCCAGCTGATGCTGGTTTTGGACTTCTGGCCTCCAGAACCATGAGAAGATACCTTTCTATTATTTTAGGCTACCCAGTCTGTGGGAATTTGTTGCCTAGAACATGTAGCATATAGAGCATGGTTCACCTTTGTCTATAGGAAGGCAGAGAGAACGTCAGCTGGAAATGTTGCCTGGGGGCTGGAGACCTGAACAGTGCCTAGAGAAGCAAAAAGAAAAAAAAAAAAAATCCATCTGCAGTATTAAGTTAAAACCACCTGTCAAAGCAGGGGACCACCTTCACCTCAAAATTTCCCAAGGCACACTCATCCTGTTTGCTCCTTGGTCCAGATCTATCAGGGCCCTCTATCTTTTGACTCAAAAAAAAAAAAAAAAGTGGGGGGACAGAGGGTAAAAGCCAGAATAAAGCCTCTAGCCCTTTCCTCGCCATCATGTTTCTGTTCTTAAAGTAAACATGAAAGGACAGAAATATGGGAGAAAATTTAAGAAGCCACCCACTCGTTCTTGAGCCTAAATAGCACCAGGGCCAAGAGCAGAGAAAAATCCCACCCAGCCCTCCCACTCCACCCAAAAGGAGGAATCTCAGCGGCTATATTGGTGTCACGTGAGCGCTACTCTCTCAGGTCACAGCTGATTGGACGGGAGGTGTGTGGCCACCTGACCCAGGAGAACCAATCAGAAGCTGAGCTGGGCTAAGCCCTGCTCCCTCAGGAATTGGTCCTGTGATGGATGGAGAGGCCGTTGGATGATGGGGTCTCAGGGATTAGGGGGCAGTTTGGGCGCCATCGTGATGGGCCACAGGTGAGCAAAGCAGGGGAAGAGGCAGAAAGAGGCAGACATGAACAATGAGACCTAGGAAATAGCTGTCTCCGGATGGCTTTCTGGTCCTTGGTCCTTGTCCCTTGGGAAGCCCAGTCCAGCCCTTGGGTTCTTATAAGAGATGCTGTGTCCTCCCAGTAAATCCGATCCCTTTTGAGTTCTGATCCTAAATTTAGCCCAAGTCCTTGAAGGGAGGCACCGCCTTTGCATCATAAACAGTGTTGAGCACATAGTGGGCACTCCACCTATCCCCGATTTTTATTCTCACTTTTCTCCGACTGGCTAGAGTCCTGACGAAGGGGAGCCACAAGCAGATCATTGAGGCAAAAGGTTTCTCTCTTCCTCAGTTCCCAAGACGGCAACTCCCATCAGGGAGAGCGGGCAAGTCAGTCCGTTTTGTTTGCTCTCCAGCCTGATACCAGCTCTTCGGTACCTTTAGACCTGAGTGGCTCATACTAAGAAAGTGAATGTCAGGAGGCCACGGCTATCAGGACTTAGACACCCTCTCCCTTGTTGATTCCCAAGCTTGCTTCCCTAGACTTTGATGAGTGGAAGTGAAAAAGTCCCTGATTAAATTCACCTGGAAATCCACAAGTGAAACTCCACATTTTTACTGAGCATCTACTATGTACCACATGCTAGGGATCAGCTGCAAACAAATGGACCAAGTCTCTGCTGACACCAAGGCTATGTTCTGGGTTGAGGGGGACAGATGATGAACAAAGAAATAAATTCATAGGCTATAATGTCAGGAGATGAGAAGCCATGTGAAAAAAGATGAGGCACTAGACCATCACCTGTTTGGGTGATTGGAAAAGACTCTTGGGAAGTAACATTGGAGAAAAGTGGGGAGTGAGCCACATGGAGATCTGGGTGCCGAGAATTCTGGAAAGCCTCTCACACGCTTATGCACATTATGAATCTCCAAGCAGATGTTGCAGGATATATCATTTCCCAAACCAATTTGGTCTCACCACCTGTCTTCCCCACAAAGTCTCTTCCATGGTCAGCTTTCATGGACTACCTCATAGGGAATGGTGATTGAGCCAAACCCAGTAATAATGCAGGGAGAGAATCAGGCCCAGAGCAGACAAGAGACGTGTCCAAAGTCCTGGAGCTCATCGACCAAGCTGTCCGTTAGCTTCCTTGTTGCGTGGCATTCAGGTCAAAGATCACCAGTGAGGGCCCCAGCAAAAGATTACAATGATCACAAGATGGCCCAGAACCCGACACCTCGGGGGAGAGCCCACCTCACATGGGAGGAAGGCAGTCAGATGGATGACATGCTGATACAAACCAAACAGCCCCCAGACACAACGTGTGACAAAACAGTCTCAGCTCCTGGTGACACTGGTAAACGTTCACACAAATGCCAGAACTGGACATCTTCACCTTAGATCAGTGGTTCTCCATCAGGATTGACTTTGCTGCCCAGGGGCCATTGGGAATGTGACAGTGGTGGCGGCGGGAACGGGGGGCTGCTAAGGGCATCTAGTGGGGCCAGGAAGCTATTAAGCATCCTACAGTGCAGAGGACATTACCTACAACAAAGAGTTATTATCCTGCCCTAAATGTCAAGAGTGCCAAGGTTGACAAATCCTGCCCTAGACAAAGGAAGATCTGTTCTCTTGGGCAATGGGGACTCTGGGGCTAGAGCCTGGCCACCCAGTGTCAGCTCTATCAAAAACCCAGAAACACTCATCCTTGGAGATCAGCCTGAGTGTGATATTTATGATTTTCCTTAAAAAAAAAAACTGTCACTTTTACAAAGACCATTTTTCTATCCCTCCCCAATCCAGAACTATAAATCTAATTCTCCACAGCACGTATAAACAGATCTCTCTTCCTTTTCTCCATCCCCAGTCCCTACTCTGTGCATTAAAAACTCTCCATTGGAATTTATTAACTGTCATTTAAAGGATGTGGGAAAGATAATAGTCAGTAGTATTTACAAACGCAAAAAGATTTTAAGAAAGTTTAGATTACTCAAAAGCATACTAATGAAGGCTATATTTCAAAATAAAACAACTACAAGATAATTTGAGAAGCAAAAATTATGACCTGATCTTCTGGGATGTAAGTCTTCTCGGAAAAAATGTCAATAATACAGCAAGCTTCTCGGGGAGAAGCTGGGCTCAGTACTGTATAAAATTTGAAAGTTGCATGGAAACTTTATTTTTTTGGAAGATTTTATTTATTTATTTGTTTATTTATTATTTGATAGAGAGAGAGAGAGCACAAGCAGAGGGAGCAGCAGAGGGAGAGGGAGAAGCAGGCTCCCCGCTGAGCAGGAAGCCCGACACGGGGCTGGATCCTGGGGTCCCAGGATCATGACCTGAGCCAAAGGCAGATGCTCAAATGACTGAGCCACCCAGGTGCCCTGCATGGAGACTTTAAACCCAAGCATGTTCTTACTATTTACCCTCAGGATGTCTTATTTTAGAAAGCATCTTGGTAGTTGTGTCCAGTCAAGAAAA